CAATATAGTCTATTTCATCAAAATCTTTTTATCTCTTTGTCCACTCAGGCGCAAATTATAGTCCATTTCATTTATATGTATTTATAGATTATTTCCTTGTAAGAAAAGTTGTGATTGGTTAGTTTGGTTGATTACCTACATCAGGATTGGTTTATATTAGGTCAGAAGCTTTAATCGTAGACAATCATCGTCCCTAAAGGCTTTTCGTCAACTAACTCTATCAAATGTGGATTGTATTTCTATTGTTAAGATAAGAATTCTAAAATAGCTTTTGGTATGTGAACTTCCTGTTAGGGTTTGGGATATGATATATTAAAGAATGTGGTAAATGTACAGGGATGCTAACAAAAGATAGCACACTTTTTGCACACTGTTTGAGTACAAGTTTGATGCAAAATAATGTTACTGGGTATGTGGACTTCCTGCCACACAATGAGGACTTCCTGCCACACAATGTGGACTTCCTGCTACACAATGTGGACTTCCTGCTACACAATGAGGACTTCCAGCCACACAATGAGGACTTCCTGCCACACAATGAGGACTTCCTGCCTCACAATGAGGACTTCCAGCCACACAATGAGGACTTCCTGCCACACAATGAGGACTTCTCACCAGGCCACACAATGAGGACTTACAGCCACACAATGAGGACTTCTCACCAGGCCACACAATGAGGACTTCCAGCCACACAATGAGGACTTCTTGCCAGGCCACACAATGAGGACTTCCTGCCACACAATGAGGACTTCTCACCAGGCCACATTCCTGCCACATAATGAGGACTTCCAGCCACACAATGAGGACTTCCAGCCACACAATGAGGACTTCTCGCCTCACAATGAGAACTTCTGGCCACACAATTTTAGTGGTTTTTTCAAAGGTGCTGACACAAGTAACCTTATTGCCCACTGCATGGCATTGGCTGTCTTCATTAGCCCAATCAGAAATATACCAAGTCTATGCAAAATTTCACTCTTGTCAGAAGGGCTTATACCTATATTTAACTTGAAATCTAAATGATATGGATGGAAGCCATTGTTAATATTAGCCTTCCAATAACTGAATATTTCTATGAATAAATGAAAATATGGTAATCCATCTTTAAAGGTCTATCAATACTGGTTTTTGATGGAAATAAGGTAACCCATCTTGAACGTCTGAAACTGTCAATAGTGGTCTTGGATTTAAATAAGGTAACCCATCATTAAACACCCCTGTCTGTCAATTCTAACATTTACTTGTCAAACCCAGCAGACAAAGCCATAGAAAAATATTAATTCAGAAAACCCACAAGTCCAAGTAACAACAATTACAGACGCATTAAAATTTTATATTTACAACCTTTGAGTTGGTCATTTTTGATTAAAGTAATTTAACGAAATGTCACAATACAACTGTTAATGTTGATTTTAAAAAGTTAATGTCTTTATCAAGCTGGACTATTGTCATTAGTATGATTATATAGCTTAAAAAT